CTGATGCGCGGTCTTCACGGAGGAACTGGCAATCCTCAAGCACGTCCTGAAGGGTCAGTGCCGGTGCAGGCTCCGAGAGGATCATCAACTGCGATGGCCCATTCGAGTGTGGTATAGTTAGCTTTACCGCGAAGACTCCAATGACGTTCGCATGCTGGATCGTTGTCAGCCGTTGGATTTCAGCCTCGAGTTGTTTGAGCTTTTTGCGCCCTGTAAGAAATATCAGGCAGAGTTATGAGGCTGAGCTAGGAATCTGACCTTGGCTGGTAGTATAGTACTGCGAATAGAAATTTACAATATAAAGCTCGAGCCGTAGGCTTGTGTGTATATCATCGCAGATGGGGTCCGCAAGGTACATGGTGCCCAAGGATTCTGGAAGAGTCGATAAAATATACGATGCGCCGCTGGTACTCGTACGACATACCTTGGCGCGGATGGAACAGCCTCACCGTGTTGAACTGTACGCCGTGCACTTCGACAGTGTTGGGGAACGACTCTGTCATCGTGTCTGCAGATGCTGGTATCTCCGTTGACTCAGAATTGGCTCGTTTGCGCGCTCGTGATTGTTGTTCTCTGGCAGCTAGCTGTCGCATTGCCTCCTCCTTAAATTCCTCCTCCCGTCTGTGGGCCTCGTGCGCTGCCCGTTCAGCAGCATCTGCCTCTCTTTGTTTGCGTGCCTTCAGTGGTTCAATATGAGTATAGATATTAGACTGAAAAAAATTATTTACGTACCCGTTCCTCGTCCATAGCTCTTTGCGACATCTGCAGCGCCAGTGACCCGCTCGCTGGGATGAGGTTCTCGCTCATCCAGTTCTCACAGTATTCGACAACCTGAATACAAGGTTAACAAAGGTGGAGTAGGTGAGATTGTGACAGACCTGAAATACTATCTCCGCGCCTCTGTTCTGTTGCGCCTGTACGGCTATCCCCTGGGATAATGACGTGATTTGGTCGTTATTCAAGCCTGACATGGGCTTTTGTATCGTAAAAATAGGGCAGGCGATACTGGGATATCCCTTTGGTAGTCTTCATACATGTCGTCAGTCAGATATCTTTTGAAAAGGAAAACGAGCTTACTTGACGTTAAGGTGAAAGCTGATCCTGTCGTTCAAGGGGTGTATTATACGGATTTCGTATTCGGGTAAACGTGAAGCACCCTTTTATGGAGTGTCAGATGCGAGATGTGAAAGAAACTGTAAACGTACCTTCCATGCTTTCGGAGGCGGTGTTTCAAAGAATGTGTCTTCATATATAGCTTTGAGCGCTGTAATCTCGAGCTGTTGTCGTTCTTGGTTGGGTAAGTCCATTGGGCCCAGAAGAGGCCCGGTGTTGTTTGAATATTGTGAAAGCTTCGGTTCGACGACCTTGTACCGATAGTAGATGCCGGTCGAGTGGCCTGGATTTGGGGACAAAGCGGATTGAGGAGGGGAGGGCCCTTTGGACCTCGGCAGCTCAAGCCTCCATGGCGCTTCGTCGAGTTAGAAAATTAGTGGTGGTGGCTCGAAGCAAAAGGGAGAACGAAGCCCTGCTCAAGGATCAATGGGGCCGGACAGGCACCGTGACTGTTGCCCAGTTAAAGCCCAGTTCACGCAATTTCACATCGCATCAGAACGTGGCCTGACCTTAACCCTGAATTAGGTTCCCTTGGCAGTTGAGCAGAGAAAACTGGAAGAAAGCATTTGGAAAACATACGAAAAGGGAAACGACTTGCATTGAAATCGTGAAACACTTAAGTTGAAGAAATGGGGACGTGAAATTTCATCGCAAGCGTCCCAGGTCCAGGCAAAGAAATGAATGGCCGCCCTTGACGGCACAGAAATTCTCAGGGATGCCCTGTAGATCATCCAAGATGCTGCTTCGACACAGACACGATGCACGAACGTTGCGAGTCGGAGAGATGACTCCACTGAATTGATCTGATAGCAAGATGAGGCGAAATGACGGCACAAAACCTGCCACGCAGCTGTGGGTACAACTTCCAAATCCTGCAAGGTGCATGCTCCGATCAATCGAAGCTCCCATAATGGATATCGACACCAGTGAAGTCACTTACTTGAAGATGAGATCCTGCAGCTGGCAATCTAATGATGTTAGCGTTCGTATTGTAATTTTTGAAATGTGATTGCTTCCGTGTACTAGAGTTGTTGCACCCTTTCCAGTAACTCTTGACACTTGGCGTAGCCAATAGTAGCTAGCACCACCGAGGATCGAAGAGAAAATATTCCAGCCGCCCTTTCAAATCCTGAGATGTAAATTACAATCATTATGTTCTCCTTTGGAAAGAATTTCTTGAGCATGATTTTAAGCCCCTGGTCAAAAAAGGTATCAATAATTGGGGATAATAAATAGAGATAATTGGATTTCAAACACTTTTTTTTGGCTTGACCAAACCATTTCTTAACATCTAGAATATGTTCATGAGGAAATAGACATTCTTGGTTATATGGATTTAGATCACTAAAATCGTCAAATCTAGCAGAAAAGAAAATCATTGACAGAAGGTCACCTTGCTTGAGTACTGTCATTGTCAAGGCACCCAATGATCTTCTAACATTGTCAGGTGCTCAACTTGGGAAAATAAGGGCTATCTCTCTGAATACTATATTTCTATTGGAACCAGACCAAGGTGATCATTACAGCTCTGATAAAAGGCACATAATTCAATCATTACTGATTGAACTAGCTGGTCCTATATATGCAGTTCATGAGCAGAACTGTAGTAAGCTGCAGGCTTACATGATCCTATATTATAGGTTGAAAATTGGCAGACTCATTCTAGAGAAGTTCAACCTCAAGCTAGTTTACTAGTTGCATGTACTAAAATTATCAAGACATAATATTTCAAATATTTTGAGCAGTTCTTTGATAGTGAATCTTTACTGGATAATTTTAGATAATTTTATTGATCATGCATATGATGATGAACAAATTTTCTATCAATAGTAGTTTAGATTGTAAGAAATGGTCATAAGACTTTGGATACTTACCAGAAAGAAAAAAGTGTACAATAATCTTGATTACTATAAAGGAGGTCATTTAGAGATATACAGTAATAATCAAGAATTAAAAGTATGCACAAGATCTTACAAATTGGCTGAGGGGATGTGGAGATTCAAGCCAACAAAGTGTGTCCATGCTTTTGATGATTTTTGTAGATACCGCAAAAGTTTTGTAAGCTGCTGTACATACCACATCAGGAAAAATGGTTTCAGTCTGTAGTCAACAGCCAAGGTATCAGGTGCTCAGGACAGGACAGCCCTCTCAGTAGCAGTCCATACCTCTGGTAGAAGTCAGTAGCTCACACTACAACTTACTACCTTTCTATACTGAGCATCTGTTTCTATATAAAAACCAGACTCAAGACTAGACTTATACTGCTGTTGTACTATGAAGAATACAAGTCATTGTTATCAGTTAATCTGGTATTGGCTTAATTACAGTCCAACAGTAGTTTAAAAATGGTTGCTCCAGTGAGGATTGAATGTGGACTACAGGCCCTGATAGATGGATTCTGAAAATGAGAACATACTAAGTCTGGGGATGGCAACTTTGAAAATTTCTACAAGTGATTTCAAGCCCCACTTATTGTTTTTCCTGTGTATCCCCACATTCTCCCTGACTTCCACCACCATCATCCCCACCATTCCTATCCTTTGTGACTGTCTATGTTGACAGGAGGTGGGCTGTGATGATGAATGTTGATTCTTGTCACTAGTCTGTTGGTGCTGCTTGTATAGTGCAGCCCACCTCAAGAGCCCATGTTTTGACCCTTGCCTTTCTTGGTGTATATGCGCTACACTGTCTAGCAGACTCTAGGAGGTTAGTCATGTTCAGTTCAATTTCTACACCACCTAAATTCCAATAGTGGACAAATACCAGTATCAGCAAAATTCCTGCTACTCTGATGTAGCAGCCTCCACATGTGCTTTGCCCACTTATAAAAGTAGTATTTCCAGTCTGTGCAGCAAAGAACAATGCTAATCACTTGTGAGTAACCCTTTGCATGAGATTTGTAGGCAACAAGGTTTTCACATCTGGCAGCCCCATCGTCACACCCCCCACATTACTGCAGGAAGTCGAAGCCTCAGCCAACCAGTTCAATATCTATATTAGCATACTAGGTGCACTTTTTTATGTGAAAACTCTAGTCTGTACCTATGTGTGCAACAACAAGGGTGCCTACAAAGGAATCAGTCATGTTTGGGCCCACCTTGGGCCCACCCGCATGTCCACCATGTGCATATTCATTCCCTCTTTTTCATTGTAGAGCTCACCTTGGCCAATCTAACACAGCAAGCAAAGCATGTCTCCAATGGTCATGAACTGATGGCACTGGTGGGGTGTGATGTCAGGGCCAACATGCAGAAAGATTGTGAGGTGTTTGCACATAGGCTTGTATAAACATTTGTTACATTGTTGTACTTGTAGCAAAAATATATTTGGTTCAATGTACCATTATCAATGTCTGATAGCTTTTGTAGCAATATGGCATAAGCATGTATCAAGTAGTTACTACTAGTACATACATCTAGCAGTGAGCTATAGACTGATAAACAGAGATATCAAATGGGGGACTGTGGTATGAAGGTCTGCCATCTGTCAAAACTGCAGGATGCTACATATCAATATGATTTTTTTCTGATGCACAGTCAGTAGTTTTATTATAATCAGCTACTGAATTAAAAATGTAGTATTTTAACCTTTTTTTGGGGAGCTTGAGACTCTTAATCCTCCTTAGTGGCATCCTGCCTCATAATTTTCTCTATGCTTGAAAAATTAAAAATGAGGTAAATTTATTTTAGGCCCATATAAAAATAGGTAAGAGCTGAATATAGTAATTGTTTTTGGAGATGCAAACACTCTAGTAGAGGAATATAAGCTTTAAAAGGCCTAAAAGATGAAAAATTCCTATTTATTGAGGAGAACGAGTTGCTGATTCATTAAACTTGGTTTTTCTTGATATTTCTGAATGTGAGACACCCTCGTAAGCTGCTTAATAAGGCCTTATGGTCTAGTAGTATGATTCCTGCTTTGGGTTTGGGTTCTAGACCATAGAGCCAAGTTGCAGGAGGTCCTGGGTTCAACTCCCAGTGAGGCCCAATTTTTGTTTGAAATAATCCCGCAAAGGGAGTCATTAAACAGGAATTTGATTGGCAAGTCGTGCATAGTCAGCCAACGAGTTCAACTGCTATACTTATCTACATAACATTGAATTTTTCATCTTATTCCTCTTTGGTTCTCATACACAAGTTACAATAGGTCAGTGTGATAAAAGAGTTCAGGTGACACTTAGACGGCAGTTGTTGTATGCTCCTAGTCCATTATCCTACTATACGTACTATTAGTTGAATAGGGTCGATTAAATTGGGAGTTGTGTCTATGGCTGCCCTATATCTCTGGTCTGACAGGGCAGACACGCAAGGGTAGACCTTTCTGCTCCTCCACAATATCCCCAGCAAATGTTTTCTTTATCCTTTGAACAGAAGGTGAAATGATTTGCGACAAATTCCAGACAATTCGCTCGTCCACCAACGAGAATTCAAAGTTTGTCAGCAACACGGAAAGAATGATCTCTAGATTACAGCCATCAAGGCCTGTGCGGTTAGAGAGGTGGCAAGGGACGCACTCATTTCAACTTGGGCAAACTTGTAACCACTGAGAAGGACGTGGATGATCAGCCATACAAGCAACATTACGGCAGGACTTACACACACGACCTGCCGCCACCGAGAAAGGACATACTGGTGCACGAACGTGCGATATCAGTCACCTCCCGTGTGATATCATGAAACTCGAATAAAAGGGGGACTCACGTTCCTCCGTATATTCCTGGTAGCCGTACACTTGCCGGGGCGCCACCCAGCCACCTTGCAGGCTTCCATTGCTTCGCATCAGGACCCCAGACGGACTTGAGGCGGTTGCTCCCTGCGATGCTGATAAAGATAGTTGTTCCGACGGGTATGGTGACACTTGAAAGCCCTGCGCTGTCTTTGCTATCTCCACTAGAATATGATACGGTTCTTTCTTTTATGGTACTAAATTAAACCATCGTGTAAGCATTAATCTCAGCTGCAATGTATAACTTAAACTGACGTCCTCCGGACAAAAGGGACAGGAGGGTATCTGTTGGGTTGACTGGGTTAAACACTCCCTGGGTCAGAGGGTTCACAGCTCACAATCGCAATGTCTCCTTGATCACAGCGTCCAACAAAGGCAAAGATGTAACTTCGTCGTAGCACAGGCGCCCTGAAGTATCACCCTGAGCCTGGCGCTCACGGAGCTTCTCCCGAACTTCGTTTCTAACGTTGTCTTGAATCTTGGGGTGCTTGGAAAGCATGTATAAGATCCGGGAAAGCGCCGATGACGTCGTGTCCTGTGCACCAAAAATTAACACACTACATTTGTAGTTAGTACATGTCAACGAATTAGGGATGTAACCTACGTCATTTGGCCAGTTAGTTCTGCGTCACTGAGGCTTTCACTGTTGGATACTTTTTTATTTGCGCGCACTGGCAGGACATCTAGGCTTCAGCATACAGAATGGATGACTTGACAATCCCACTGACACAGAACACTAATGAGGTCTTTGGCACACGCAGGCTCGGCCGAATCTTCTTTGTGTTCCCCAGTAATCGCCGCGACTTTGCTTCGCAGGATTTCTTGTGCCGTGTTATGCATTATGTCCGAAATATTCTTGACCTTCTGAACCGCCTGGTTGGGTGTCCATTCGACAACCATTCGGCGGAAGGAAGGTGCACCGAGCTTTGACAAGAATGGTGCAAACTGGCGGACGAGTGACAAAGAGAACATGGTCGGGCTGTATTGGGGATATAGTCAAGTAGTCACTGGACCGAACTGGGAGACTCTCACATTAGCTCCTTGACCGCAGAGGTATAAGGGTTGCTGTGCGGAGAAGTGAGAGGGTCAAAGGAATAACCCAGGACAGTCTGCCCCACCGTCTCAAGAGCAACGCGCGACATCCACTCGAATATATCCAACACACTTTCTCCGGAAGCTGTCTGGTTTCTTAAAACCTCGTTCTGGATGGCATATGTAAGCTGAAGTCAGGATAGATCAGCGCATTCCGAAGTAAAACAATTACACTAGCGCTTACCCTTTCTGCCACACTGTATATGATAGGAGTCAAATGCCGGAGCTGGGGCACAGAGAATATCGGGTTCACTATCTTTCGTTGTGCTTTGTGATGCTTCCCTTGACAAAACAAGTTGAATCAATCACGTAGATAGCAAAGAAGTTGAAGGCAATGAACCTGTGGTCGCCACAAGTCCTGGTCCGAAAATGGCCTTGTTCGTTCTAAGATGGGGTGTTATAAGTACGAGTACCCGACTTCAAAGCACCGGATACTGACTCGATAAATACAGCAGTCTCCTCGAATGCGTCCTGGTCATTGACGATAGTCTGAAGCGCTCGGGGATCCGAAACATACAGTTGTTGATCCTAGCAACATTAGTTTTTCTTATCGCACAAGGATGAGAGGAAATCAGACGTACTCCCAAAAATCCGTAAACCTTGACCATCCCTCCAAATACATCAACAATGTCTCGATGAAAGGCCAAGCCTTTGGAATTAAATAGCTGCCCGAGATTACCTGACGATGTGAAGTTTCTTTTTAGCTATGTTAGAGCCATTCCTTCAAACGCTACCTTTGAACCAAGACTCGGCAGGGGGACCGGGAATATGCTTGAAACAAGATTTGGGGAAAGGACGATCACAGACCCATCGCCAAAAGTGACGTAGGACGGCCAATACGAAAATGATAAAAAATAATATGAAAGGCGTCATTTAGGATTTCTCTCGAGGGAGTGAAGGGAGATATTATACGCCTCGGGCCCGAGTTATAACCTTGTCTATGGTACAGCTTAACGCTGTTCCATTTCAGAGAACCCTATTTACCCAAGAGGGAGAGCTGTAGAGGTGTGCACTGTAAATCATATACGAGGAACCCGGTATCCGTAATGTTCAAACAGATTGTTTTCAGGGGTACCGATTTTTCGTATGGTGGCGGTGCTCAGAATGCCATTGAAATCGTGAGCGGGTTAGTTCTGAGGTTGAGAGGAGTGGCGCGAGTTTTAGACGTGGGTTGGCGTGTCCAGCGAGGTCCAGCGCGAATCCAAAGCCGGGCGCCGGTTATAGGTACATAAGGGCTAGAACCGCTATGGGCCTTGAGCGTTCGAGGTAGATTTTGTACAAATGCTCACGTCTAGATGTGTGGACCGTGGTTTTAAGCCCGTCTAAGCCCTTCGCAAAAGAGAGATGAGAGGATCTAGGTCGTGCCGGGACCTCCGAGCACGAATGGCAACTCGTACGGGAGTGTCGGAAACCAGGAAGCGCAGGAGTTGAGGAGATGGTCGGAGAAAAAGGGTTACGTCGTTAGTTGACATTAACCCGAAGATATAGATTAGAAATGTTCATATCTCGGAAGAGCTTGGGATGTTCACGGACAGCCGCGGCCTACTACATGGCAGCGGTGAAAGGATTATGTAAACGGAATGACGTAGCGTCGATTCGCAGTTTATTGAGGGGGCGAACGACGGCGATAGACCAGCGACGACGGAAAGATGATCACAAGCAAGTGGATATGTCGATTCCGTCAACCGAGGGATGGTAAGCGTGCGTTGGCGACGGGCGTTGTAACAGAGGAGAGTTAAGGGCAGGAGAAAAAGGGCAAATGACGCGTCAGACGATGCGATGCCTTTTATATATATAAGGAATCAAGCAGAGCCAATGAGAGGCAGCGAGTTCATCGAAAAACGAGGCAAGAATGGCTAATGACGTCAGGCCCCATAGTAGTCCGGGGTTATCCGTGACCCGCAGCCGCTGATAGCTTTGCAGTCACTGCGGTTCCATGGCATTGATAATTTCGAACCTTCGTTGCGGATATGGCAGCCGCAGTGCGCACAACACTCCCAACCTCACTAAATCGGTGTCTCTATATTTCATGAACACAAACTCTGACTAAGCAGGGAGCGAAAGACAGAGTAACCTTTGATAACCTCCCAGGTGCGTTTACCTTGAGCTCACCATCGGCGTTTGCTAAGCACAACTCTACCTCTTCCCTATAGCTAGACCGTAATTGAACGAGGCTTGTTCCTCCGGAAGCTCGTATTCATCTGAAATCGACAAATTCAGACGCGGTAAGTGAGAAGCTGATGAAATCATGACTCATAGAGAACATACGCAGAATGGATGTGATAGTAGCTACGGATTCTTTGACGGAATCCTCGAATGGAATCGCGCAGTCTCTGCGAGGCATATTTCAGATGTGGGAGCTTTTGGATAGTCACTGACATGACACCTGCAGGAAGTACTAGTTGGAACTTACTGGGTCCAAAAACAATAGCAGCACCCAGAAGGACAGACATTGCTAGGGTCCAATGTCGAAGAACAAGGTTGAGGTCCCGTCTCAGGTCTGACCTGCGTTTGACAGATATCTTCGTCACTATGGAACCACCGACGCCCTACATGAGCACATGGTCTCTTTCTTTCCCAATTCGTTGTACTATTCTGTTAGTCAAACGTCTGCCGCAAAAATTGCCTCTTAATCTCAAAGCAGACTGACTGAGACTGAGGCAGCTGTGTATAGTTAGTAAGTTATAATGGGCATGTGCAGAACGTTCCCGACCAATTGCGATCGAGAGGAATGGACCCGAAAGCTCCCTATCAATCTTAATTTCGCCGATACTGCATCCCTAGTAGTTGAAGGACGCAGTGTCACAATAATTGGCATACTAATTAGAATTTAGTGCACGAGTGAGACCTCTATGACGCCCTCAGAAGCTCTTTCCGGCACCAGATTTTTTTGGCTAGGTATGTTTGCCGAGCCCACAAGATACCCTGAACACGGTGTATTTGACCATAGGATAAATGACTCTCACACGTTCACCGAGCCATAGTTTACAAATAATTCAGGTGAAGGAGGAAAGAATTAATCCTGTGGAGGGCGGAGAAAGAGCTAATCCATGGCGGCTGGATGGTCGTGTCTGGGTATCTTCCAAGCCATTGCAGAAACACCCACAGCCAGTGGGACAGATCGGAACATTGAGACTGTTCCAACACGAAATATGCGTCACATGAGAAC